CGAGCTTTCTGGTTGCACGTGGGTGTCAAGTGGCTGTCAAGTGACGCTTTTGGCTTTTGTTCACTTTGTTGGTGGTACGCTTCAAGGTTCGAGAATCCTAACGATGTAATGAACACAGCACGTAGCTGGATAGTTGAGCTGGCTGACTTTGGGTGTGCTGCTCTGTGCTGCCTTTTGAGCCAGGTTGTCATCACAGTCCTGCTTAGCTGTATGAGAACTTGGATTGGCACTCTTGACCCAAAGAATTCATGGCTTTGGCGCAGCCACGGATGAAAGATTCGGTCCCGCAAAGCAAGTCTACCGCACCAAATTTACGCAGGTTCCCGCAGAACATATCCTCAAGTAAGACTTTGAGAGGTCATCAGGACTTGTGTGTATGTAACGATTCCGCAAGGTTAGATACACTCAGCTGCCAACAAAGAGCCATGTGCGCAAACGGCGAGCTCGGATTTTTGTTGGGCAGTGCCCTGGCCAATGGAACTCAATCACTCAAGAGAATCTCAACGACTGAAAAGTGACCTTTTCCGTGGATTGCCTTTTTTCTGCTTTCGAGAAGGATTCCAAACTGCGTTTCGATACGTTTTTGATTCTTGAGGGGCGGTCAGTGGTGGCCGGTGGTCCCCCATTGAGGTTACCCAATGAGTTTCGTATGTCATTGAGGTTAAGCCTATGTATCCTCGGTGGCTTCTGGCTGGTTGCGTAGTGCTTTTAGTTCAAGCTGATGGGAAGCCAGGCGTGCTGGGCGACGAGGGTTTCAATATTGGCTTTCCTGCTCGACTGAGCATGTCCAGGGCTAGAGGTTGAAGCTGCTCTGAAAGTCAAGTGTTGCAGCTTTCCAGATCGATCCATGTGAGGCTTACGTGCAGGAACTTCTTCGAGATCCAAGCAGCCAGATGTCCTAGGTGCCTCGCCCATGCTTGCGCGCTCGCTGCGTCCAGAACTCCACTTTCGAATGCTCATCATATATTTCATCCATTTTCGCAGGACTAAGCAGGAAGCTGATGTTTCATTGATCGATTTGTAGGTGACTCGATGAAGCAGATGACTTGATGATTTTTTTGAACTTTTGGAGATTGTTTGAGTTCCTGACATGTCCACATCTCCACATCCCTTTCCAGATCTCCCGCGGAACGACAGTGGCATCCCGAGTCTCCAAGGATGCTTGCAGAGGTACCTGTGAGGGCAGATTGGACGCAGATAGAATTGGAGACATAGTTGTCTGACATGACATAGGTCACACGCAAACCATTGCATATCCAGGATTTGAAGCTTTGATGTTGCCTTTTGTTGCGAAGAATTGTAACCATTTCCATCTGAATGGGTTGGTTAAAGTACCTGCCTGCCATTGAAGGGAGTAAGTAGTCTTTGCATCGTCTGACAGAGGTTGACTTCCTTTAAACATCTTTTTGATACTGGCGCATTCACTGTGACATCAGGGCTTGGATGGACGAGGTTGTCGAAACTTGACTTCATGCATTGAAGAGCCATGCGGTTTCCGACGCGACTGTCCGCTTGCCGAACTCCAGGCTCTCGAGCGAGTACTACAGCACCTACCCAGTGGCGCTCCTCGTGGAGCTCTACCGCTCCCGGCTCCGGGTGGAAGGTGGGCGAAGCGTCGGGCCGCAGACAGCAGCGGGATTCCTTTGAGGCCATCCGACAGACACCGTCGGAAAACGTTGAACCTCTTCACGCGGAGGGTGTCCTGTTTTCCGACGCCGCGGGGTTAAGACGGGGTTTCTAAGTAGGGAAAAAAGGAACAACGAATCATGAACGGACCTGCTGGCAAATCATGATTCGATCCCTCCTTTGCGACCATGCAGTATATGGAGGTTATGTCAGAAATGCTTGTTTATCCGTAGGCACCTCCAGCATTTCTAATCTTGCGGGCAGCCTAAAAGAAGGGGCAACGAATCATGAACGGAGATGCTGGCAAATTATGATTCGATCCCTGCTTTTCGGGAGTGCGCTATGCTCATTAAGTAAGTTTCTACGTAAGTAAGTAAGTAAGTAAGTAAGTAAACCCGGTAAGAAGCTATTAGGCAAGCCAATAAGAAGCTACTAGATGAAAAACTAAGTTTCCTAAAAATCCATGAGTCCAACAGATAGTGCGAACGCAGCTTCAAAGAAACGAGCTTCGTGCAAGAATCGTGACCTATTTGGCGTCCGAGCAAGCGAGCAAGCTTTTTAGTAGCATGTAGCGAATGCATCCAGTCCTTACTAAATGCATCCAGGCTTAGTTAATAAGTAAGAGGTCGGGCAAAACAATAAGAAGCTATTGGGTGGCACACAGAAGAAGCCTTCGCATGATCGATTTGTATTTTTGCGAAAGCTCAGCCTTCCGTAGGCGCTTCCGAGTATGTGTTGTAGGCACGCCAGTCAATTACTTAGAGTGGCGCACCACTGATATACGCATTGCTTGCTTTCTTTTCTTGAGACCTGTAGATCTCTCTTTCTTCTTTACATGACACTCTTCAGACCTGGTCTTCTCCTGCACTCACTCTTCCCAGAGACAAGAAGATTCATGCCGGGGTGCAGACTGATGAGGTAGAGGTATGATTGAAAGATCAATCTGGCCACCTTCATCAAGAGGAACGCAATGACAAACTACGGAGGAAAAGCGGGCCAGGCATTTATACTCTTTTTCTCTACGCAAAAGGCCGAACATCTAGAAACCTATATGCGACTCGAGGTGTGCTCGCGGGTTCTCACTAGAGCCTCGCAAGTTCTCTCTTCAAGGCACACATTTTTTAGTCGTGGACAGGCCATGGCCCGTTCTGCCCAAGAGGAGGCAGGAGAATACATCGGAAAAAATATACGGCTAGACAACAGATCTCAATACATAGTTCTTCGAGCTTTCCCTCAGATGCTTGAGTGCTATGTAGCGCTTGGATTCTTTGAGAGTCAGGTTGCAGGCCTGCGAGATCCAGCTTCGAGGTTTGTAAGTGGAAATGCCTTTTTTCTGCTCCCCGCTTGGTTGGGTAGAGTAGTACATAAATGTACACAAGCCATGACAATGGGGGCGGATTAAATCTGTGGAGCCAAGGAAGATACAGTGCAGAACTCTGTAACAAAAAGGTGATTGAGGTGATTGGCTTTGGATTACAATTCTGACCACTGAATGTCCAGTTCCGGCCAGGATGCGAATTGGCACGGGAGAGCTCACTTTGCAGGTTCTTTGCTACGCTTTTCCTCCGAGCGCACAGATGTTAGTTCGAGATGCAAGTCAGGAGTAGAAAGCTCACGTTCAGAGACTGTTTTTGCAGACATGGGGTCAGAACGCATGTTGTATTTGCAGCCCCTGCTCACACAAGAGACATAGGTAGTCATAGCGGTGAGTCCGCAATCCCCAGTGCA